TTGTGTAATGTTTTGACGGCACTTGACCCCCCGTTCGAAAGGTTATTTTATGAGGATTTCAATGGTGGCATTTATTTAAAAGGGGGGTAAATACTCGCGGAGATATTTATATTAGAAAAATTGTATCGAAATGTAATACGAAACCGGTTGTCGAGAAAGAGATATGGCTAATACGCTTCAAAAACTGAAGTCAGTTGCATTACCTGTTTTTTCCAGTGTAGATTCTTCAACTTCTTCTGGATTTTTCCTCTCCACTGTCTCCAGGGATTCATTCCTACCCAATTAGTCAATTACCGAAAGCGGCAAAGTCAGAAAGCCCTCAAACCAGCCAAAAGGCAATGATAATGATCGGAGAATTTTTTTTTTAAACTCGAAACATGAATAAACATGATATTTGTAGCATTGATTGAAAGGAATGCCGTCGGCGTAGATTTTTGCGCGACAGTTTGCCATACGCGTAAAATTTGCCGGCAAAATTATTTATACAACTGATTTTGTCAATTGAATATTTTTATCATAAATTATGTCAAATACAAAGTTTTCATGGCGTTTTATAATACATTAGAAATTTAGAACAACAATGTGCCACTGTGCCAGACACACTCACAGATGGACACGCCAAGTCGCCAACACTTATACCATTATACGCTTTACGCCATTTACGCCACGCCAACAGTTTACACCAAAATTTTGATTTAGTATTACGCCAAATTTGGCGTAATCTGTAAAATTCTACGCCGGATATATCCGGCGTAACATACGAACTTTCCACTATGGCTGGACCATCTTTGCCAAAACGGTTTCTTATTTTGTTGGACAGCTTAACACAATGCCAGAAGTTGATTGGGAAGTGCCAGTTGCACTTTTGAAACCTTAAAGCTGGGTTACAGTCCATTCTGTGCATGTGCGGACTTTGTTTACATCTTTGTTTTGGTTTGGATCCACTTCAATTGTATAATATGAAGTATAACAGCAACGCAATAAACAAATTTTAAAATGAAGGAGTCAGGAGTGAAGTTAATTTTTTTTTAAATTGCCGTCTGAAAGACAAGCAATTAAATATTTTAACAGACCACCAATGGAAGATATATTGTTGATCAATTCGGAATTTTTCTTTTGTGTGCCTCGTTAATAATGAAACATTCACAAGAGGCCGCGACACAGCAAAGGTGCGAATTCGCAACTCATTGTGTTTTGATAATGTTCAGCATTGTAAAATAAACTTTGGAAGTGTCAATGAAAGTAATCATGAATCTTTCCTTGGAGTATTTATTCGTCGAAACACATTGTCAGAGTCATTGTTGCCGTCATGGCAGAAACACTCGGAGAAAGCTTTTCGCTGGAAGAAATGGAGACGATATATTCATGTCGCGGCTTCTGTCTTCGATAGAGAGCCTGCAAAAGAATGGGTAGTTTTTGCTCAAGCGCGTGCCACTAAGAGGATTTTGATACATGTATGAACAATAGAAGGGTTCAAGAACGTGACAGTGACCAGACGGTGAGTTTGTATTATTGCTATTAGCTATGTAGTAACACTGTTCGTTATAATTAAACGTGGTTCACACATGTAATATTATTTTCGTTCATTAGTTTAAACATGTTTCGTTTACGCAAAAAAATGACCTGAACAATGTTCATTTGAGAATATGTAATGTTGTTCATTGTGATTGTTCAAGGATAATGATCATCTAACAATAGAGATGAATAAACTTTGTTTACATAGTTTAATACTTTGCTTGCCAAGAATATGCGCAGACATACATTTGAGATTTTGAGTGACAGTACATTTCTGAAAGCTTTAACACATGATTTGTTTTATTTTATATAATACCTTATTAAATTCTAATCGTTTAATTGGCTGTTTATGGTCACGTGATATTGAATAGAAAATTCCATTTCCCAAGAGTGCAATGGAACGCGTTCCATTGCACTCTCCGCGAGTGCAATGGAATAA